GATGGACTTCCGAGTGGAAAGAGATTTAGGTGGCATGCCCTTCACTGATAGGCTGTGCCAGAAGTATGCACTTGGTGAGAAGCGCTCAGATAACGGCAGTGGACTTGGTATATTATGCGAAAACAACCATATGTTTCTCTGGAGTATCAACTTCAGGCAAACGAGGAGGCGTCCCACATCGCGAACAAAAGCGGGGTTCCAAAATGATCAGTTGAGTCCGAAAGGTCTTTAGTTTCCCGCACCAGATGAATTAGCGCCTCTACTGCCACCGAGTTTCAGCGTTCCGGATAACAACACGCCTTTCAAGCTTTAGACGGACGAGTAGCGTTACTTTTTTGTTTCATTGATATGCATTTGATACCCCAAGGTCACGCCGTCATCAGCCTGCTACTGAGGTTACTGTCACGTTTAACTGTTTCAACCGGCTGTCTCCATACTGGACAACTGACCGTGAGATTGCGTTGACCACGGGGGGACATCAACGCTTATCCATGATAAATGATGTCCTTACGTCCAGTTTGATCCAGAATGAGTTCAACGACTGAGAAGCAGCCTCATTCTTCTCAACATTATAATATATTCACGAGTATTTGCATTCAGTATGGTCAATTTGCAAACTGCCTCAACCTATCCCACTCGCAATGGGAAATAGCTGCTATTCTTACAGCGGAATAAGCGAAATATCCACTTAAATTTCTTCTTGGTGAGTTACACCCATCCGTGGAATAAACTACCCTTAGAAATAAGGACAAGTGAGAGACCTCTTCTAAATTCTCTTCTCTCAATGATAAATGTGGTCAATGGCTATCTTCAGCAATCTACGATTGCACTCATAGAGTTCGGTCCGAAAAACATGACAAAACTATTTCTCCAATAATGTTACTCATTACATAAAACATTACACCACTGATCCATATTGAACACAAGATGACAAATGAAAGGCCGATGAAACGTGCTGTAAAAATAACGAGTATAATCGTTCCACGAAAGGGAATGCATCCTGCCCGTTGGGAAATATACCCATTCATTATTTATGGTACATGATTCTACCCTACCGATGCACGGTTACAAGATTACGCTATAAAAAATCTTGTGCCCGAGCTGCTTTCTACTCATGCCATGCATACACTCTAGTTGGCACATATAGTTCGTGGGACGTCGATTTAGCGCAGTACCATGGTTACGATCAAATTGTAACCAGTCTCAGATGGCGAGAAAGCGTAAAGGAACGCAGACCATCTTGGCCGAATTTCAATGGCGCAGAGAGTGAGCTAGTCTGCGCGAACAACTGTATGAAGTTTGGAAAATTCCCGAAAATTTGACAAGAACCAATTAGCTGATCCCTCGGTTCATTTGGGCCATCTTCCCTAGCAGGGTCCCTCACTTGTAATGCACCACAAGAGATCGAGTAAGAATGTACCTATATATAAAAAAGAATGATCTGTCTCAAGGAATCAAATTGAGGTCTCACGCGTCGCGCTTTGAAGGCTTGGATTTCCGCTCGTTAACTGGAGCTGTTCGACCGCAGTAGAAATATCCCGAAAAGAAATGTCGCAAAGCAGATGTAATGATCGTTAATTCTTGTAGACGGGATTCAACAGTACGCAGGTACACAGTACCGACGCTTCCCTACCGCGCAACCACAGCGAGTCGAGCGTGGGTTAAGGATACTGCGAGTCACCCGGTCCCCTACGCGGCTTGTGATCCTTACGGCTGGGGACCGGCGTTAAGTTGTGGTCACAGCGTACATCATAAATGTAGTCTTCTATACGCTCTGGTAATACTTAATCGGTCTACCAGTCACAGAAAGTTTAATGTCAGCGAGTCCATTTGCAAAGTCGATGGGTCTCCGATCAATGACCAGCAGAGACGTTTGTATCCCTGGGTCGAGCACTTTCATTCGTAGTTCGACTAGTCCCCACCGTCCATCCGTGCAAACAGTACGCCCGGTTGCCTACTTTAGACCGTCCCCCTGGATCCACCCAGTGAAGCGGAAGTATGTCTTGAGATTGCACACTTGAAGTGATTCAAGACTGTAGACTGAGAGGAACTGCCTCCAGAGACATTAAAGTATGACAGTCCAAATGACCTCACTGTTCTGCAAAATCTCACGTGAATAAAAGGCATCTACTTCCTAGAGAAAGTCAGTTATCCTTATTTTTTTGAAAAGTGGTTGTACTTCGTGTGCTTATCATTGAGGGATTAGTCTAATTTCGGTTGCCTCCAAGCTACTGACATACATCCTGCTTCACAGATAATCCTCAATTCCCGAAAGATACTACCGTGAAGGACAAGCTGGTTCCCATTCCGGCTGTGAGTACGTGGATTAAATCTTCACTCTCTGCCAACTTCTCAAACCTCGTCCGTCTTAACAGTGACTCACGATCGTCGCGTTCCTAGACCTAGGGGCAGAATGCGATTTGGCAAGTCAATCTACGCAATGGCGCCATTAACACAGGAACTGTGTCCCAGAGAAGTGTACTGCCATCCTTCACGCACTATAATCTATGCCAATAGTGTTGCACGACAGAGCTGCCCATGTCCACAATGCTCTGAATTTGCAACTGAAAACGAACTGTTGAGAGCTCTAGATAGGTTCCAGAACTTTGGCTTAAAATGTCTACCAGGTGGGCGCAGGATCGACTTGGAGTATGTTGATGAAATCGCCTTACTTCGTGACGACCCACAGAGCATGCAATTCACTTTGAACCGTTTGGTGGCTGAAACATCTAGTTACGTGCTTCGCCCACTAACGATGTAAAGGATTGCTCCATGATTGGCCCAGATCCGTTCCCGTGCTCATCATTGGCGGTGCACAGCTCGATCAAGCAGGTGAAACCACGTAGCTTGGGAGTTGTCTCCCTTGTTGGCGCTATTGAAAAGGTCTCTTCGCGCCACCAAAGACCAGACAGCATTTGTTTTTTGGACTCGCTTGTGGCGTCCTCGGGACGTCCTTAGCTCTGAAAAGAACCGGGTTTACAGTGCATGCGTTCGCCCGGTGCTGTAGGTTAGTGTATTTTGGTCAATCCGTGTGGATGACACGCGCTCGTATTCAGCCTTCGACAATGGATGTCCGGCGAAGATAACTCATGTCTGGGTACACACCGACTTCACAATGATGAAACTAGACTTTGCGTACAGAGGGAATGCGAGTAATCTCTAGCAAACGGGTTTTGCTGTGTCAGTTCAGGTAGACAGGTGAAGTTCTACGCTATCATCTGGGCGTTTACAGCGACGTGCCCCATTCCCTCGCGCCGAATTAGGTGGGTGATCGCGTGGTGATCAACCTTCCACGTGGCGACAGCATATGAAGCCGTCGGCGCTGTGCTTAGCCGCTGTTAGACCCATACGTCTCCCGGCTGGGGACAAAAGGGTGCGGAGTAATGACGACATGAAACGCTTGAACATGGTTAATAAATGAAGTTTATTCTCGGTTATGTGAGCCCCCTTAAAGACATGAAGATGCAGCAGAGGACATATTACGTGGATCACAGGATGATCAGAAAAAACTTAAATGATAATCAGTTATTGACAGTTGAAAAATACGCGGTCGGTGGTCCGTAGTGAGAAAATGTAGAGTGTAAGTTCTAAAAGTTTACAGAAATAAACAGTAAACCTGCTGCGAGACGATACTGCAACTGCTAAATGAATAGCTGCGTCAAAGTAGTGCCAAGAAATAGTAGGTGTTGAAATGATTTCACAGATATCTTACAATCGGAATCAGTGAAAAACTTGCATGTATAATAGTCTCGATTCATATAGTAAAGGCTACAAGCGCTGAAATTAACAAAAAACAAAATCAACGTGTGAAAAGTAGGCAAATGTTTTGTTTTCATCTTAAGATGATCGTACCCATTCGATTTCTATGGTTTTTAATGCGTACTTGTCTATTATTTAGACTGCTGAACATGATATATATATGTATACATATTCGCTATTTGGAATGCGCGAATAAGGTAATGATGCGAGTGCGGGGCCAAAGAAAGTCGTTTTTTGGTAAATGAGGTAAAAATTCTACCAAGTCATAAAGTTGCCACACAGGGGGCGCAAAGCAGCAGTTAAAAGGTGCATTCAAAATGTCTCAATTCGGATGGTAAGACAGGTAATCACATAGGCGAGAAATCTGTAAAACCTACGCACCCGGGCAACCAAGAAGTACTAAGTAGACGACTTGAGACATTGCTACCAGAGCTGTTTGGCATATTGTTGGTTACCTCGGCAGTCTACTTGCTCATATGACGATTGAATCCGGTTATTTTACATTGCACTGAGCTGAAGAGATAAGTAAAATTCCACACTAATAAATGAAGCAGCAAGTGCTGTGATTTCAGACAAGCATAATCGCCGTATCCCCAGTGTTTTGAAAAACGACACGATGTGAGGCCCACATGGGAAACGTACAAGCTCTGTACAGGCCGCCAAAGCACAGTGATTGACACCCGACGGAGTATGAGCGTGGATAGCAACAAGAAGCAAATTAAGCTAGGAGAGAGTAACTGCTGAAGGTCAGTATTATAGGTACACAGTGATACGAATGCGGACCAGGCCCAAGACATTTCCCATCCGCGAATATCCTGAGAACAAGTCGAGTCCCATTTATGCGGGAAAGATGACGATAGACCTAGCATTTGGGGTTGTGGCGATACAGTGACACGCTTACAAACTGTCAATTAGGCATTTGTGAGTAGACTGCTTTAAGCGAAGTGTTACGTCTGAAGCCGTGGCAACAAAATGAGAGGGGAGACAATAGTCTGTCTCGTAACGGGCCCGTCAACCGGAATGATGATACCCGCCGGACTCACGAAAGCAAATGGGAACTCCTAGTGCACACATATACCGCATATGCAACAGAAAAATTTAGGAATGCAGAGTCGAAGTGGAGATGCTCCACTTTTTTAGCAAATAGTTGCGTGGGACCAGAACGAGAGGAAAGGCATAATTTGGGGCGCAGTCAAAACAAGAATCGGGGTTTCCAGATTTTGAAATAAATGAGAGCAAACTCACTGATCATGCAGACGAATAACTCGACCACTGTCCTTCAACGATGAGAGCATGACGATCTCATTGAGGTATGAGTTCAGTAAGTCTGGGCTGGCTCCATCCAAGAGAACGTCTTTAATGGCCCACAGATTTCGATTTGAATCCAAAGCAGAGTACACCTTGAGATATAAGATGAAAATAGGGTAAAGATGGAGTATAACATATAGTGAAGAGAACAAACCAAGTGGGACGATTGAAAGTTGCTAAGTAAGAAATAAGCTATACGGAAAAAGCAGATGTGACCAATAGTACACCCCGAGTGCAGCGCTCATGTGATAAGAAGGTGGTGGCATACGAACGCAGCAATGAAAGCCCCCATGTTCGAGTGACATAGCAGGCACCACGGATATGTTTCGACAGATTCCCGGCAGCTCATGATAGAAGGTTGTCTCGAAAAACTCACCAAGGAGAGTGAAGTATCGGAGTAACAGGGGGTAAAAATAAGTGAAACAACTCTCGGCACCAGTAGAGTTCAGTAATTCAAAGCATGAATGGAATAACAGAGATGAGCAGAACAAATTAATCAGAAATCGTCATATGCATAGTTTCACCATCATCACTTTACAGGTTACGTGGAGGTGAAGAAAACCACAATACAATCAGTAGGATGCACGGAAAAAGAAAACAGTAAAGACTATAAAAGAAAAAAATACCGGCAGTATTATGGTTGTTGAGCTTTGGAGCACCCGCCATGTGACTTGGATTGTGACGCAAAATCTCAATTGTGGCTTCGGATAACTTTGAAGGCAGCCTGTGTCATTGCGATCACTGGGATCACAACCGAAGTGGAGTTTCGGGGCTGTTCTCTCCCACCACTGCACTCCAGAACCGAAAGGTTCCGTCCTGATTTGGGCTCGTCAGGTAGAGATAGCCTGAATATGTGTGGAACTCGAGCACATAGCGATTGACGGCGATCGCCGTGATCACTAGGCCATTGAGATCCGCCAGCAGCGCTTGACACAACGGTTAGAAGTTGGGGTTTGGAGCATTCACCGTGTGTCTTAGATGGTAACACGCAATCGTAATCGTGGCGTTCGTTGACTCTGAAGTCAGCCTGTGCCATTCCGACTGAAGTGGGCGGTTTTGGTGTTGCGCTATACCATCATTGCACTCCACGATCGCTTACTTTTACGCTACGTATCGAGAGGGAAATCATGCTTATGAGGGTAGGCTAAAAGGGGAAACGACGAATAAAGGAACACAGAACAAAAAATGCCACTGAACTCAGCTCTATGCTACGTCAACGGATGATTGCTTTTTGAGTTCCAACTAGAGTCGGAAGACTCCAAACGATGCCAATTTCGAGATGGAAACCTTCATCTCTCTTCACCAAGTCATTGAGTGACTTCCCTGGCGCACAGACAACGCATGTTGTAAGAGCCGATGTGATGGCATGCGCAACAAGTGTCCCAGTCATTCGAGGGTCGTACGTGAAACAACGGAATTGAGTAGTGAACTTCCTCTTCCTGCACCATAAACAAGACACCGAGTATGCTCATTCTTCATACAATGTTTCGACCAGATGTGAGCGAAACTGGGAATACCTCGTTGGTTGAACGTAATCATTTTCTTTAAGACTGGAACAGTGTTTACAGCCTTGTAGAAGGGTTAAACAGACGGCTGTTATGTACACTTCACTCCCGTACCGGAGCCATAAGCAAGGAAATTGAGCAAACGAACCTCCAGATTTGGCTATACGGTTTTTACTTCAAATTCCAATTCACTGGAGCAGATACAGCTACCAGATAGTTGAATTTCCAGAAGGCCCCTAGGTGATCATCACAAAGTGTCAACGCAAAGAAACGGATTCCGAAAGATCGTGGAGAAAAGTTTTGCATTCGGGGCCGGCACGAAAATGATCGAAATGATTGATAGCCAATGTCAATCTGTCCAGTGCAGCTTGGCACATTTCTGAGCTGTCACAGATTAGAGCGAATCGTCGGCATTGTCCAAGTCAAGGAGTCAACACAATCAAGTTGCGCCCACTGAACGTAGATTCCATAAATGTCAAAAGAGAAGTTAAAAAGAAAAGATGGCAGAAGACATCCATTTCTCACACCGCTGGATATACTGAAGGGCATCGACAGCTTGTCATAAGCCATAAACCCGCCAGAACAATTCCAAAGGGCACGTCGATACATCGAACCGAGGAACACGACTACGGTGGCTCGCTAATATGGCCGTGATCCAACAACTGACATAATGTGAATATGTGGTCAAGTCACCCTCGGTTTCTACGAAAGCCAGCTTGCTCCTCAAGAACCTGGCTTTCACAGGTGCAAGTCAGTCTATGGAGAATGACAGAAGCAAGTAACTTAACGACAGTTGGGATCAGATTGATCCCTTTATGATTGCTGCATTCTGAACAGGAGCCACTTGAAAATTGGGATTATAACGGAGCGGCTCAAGTCTGCTGGGACAGTCTCCTGTTCGTACAGCTTTAATATTAAACTGTGAAAATAAACCACAACAGCAGGTCATTCGAATTTGACAAGTGCTGAAGGAAGTTTATCTGCTTCCGCGGCCTTAATCAATTAAAACAGACTAATTATACATTAGAATTCTGTGCGTGAAGGTGGATCTAAGGAGGCGGCTCAAGGAGAAGGGCGATGTCCGGCAGTGTGTGGAGCTAATCTTCGTGAAAAACGCTTAAGGTTAATTGTGAGAAGGTCCAGCTCAAGCCTGGCGGTTCCGCTCCTCGAATGACTATCTATCAACGATTGGCTATTTCCTCCAGCTCTCTTTAAATTCGGCAAAATGCTCGCGGGGATAATCTGCACAACATACTAATAAGACCGTAGGTGCAGGAGTTTGTCCTAACAGACTGAAGCCCAAATGTTCAAGGGAGGCCCATGTTTGGAATGCGGTAATCATCGAGGGATCAGTCTGATCTCAGTTGCATCTAAGTTACTTGCTTCTGTCGTCCTTTATAGACAGGCTGGCGCCAGCGGAGCCAGATTTCCGAGAAGCAAGTCGAGTTTCCTCGAAATCGAGACAGTATTTTACCACATCTTCACAGTTACAACACCGCCCTTATATTAGCGACCCAAAATAGTCGTGTTCCTCAACAGCAAAGGTGTCTTCGATTCCGCAGATCGATGTGCCTTTTGGGACTGTCTACTTAAGCGTTCTCGGGGATACTGGCGCCAACGCGCCACCTGGAGACCCCTCACCTGGCCAACCGTGGACACAAACTGATCACATCGCCATCTGTTATCGACGACGCGGATGTCTATAGGATTGCAAATCAATCTGGAGTACCTACCTCACTTTAAGCTACGCGCTGGTATGCTTCACGTTTTGGTGGCGCCCCAGCTGCATCAGCAGAAACGGCTTGACGTGGCTAAGCTTTCTAAGTCGGACGTTCTCCGTGCCTTTCTGGATGCGATGGACTCAACGTTGAAGACCGTTTCATGCGCAGACACCGAAATACACCAGACATAACCGCGGTGCTATGTACAAATCTGCAATCCTCGTCTGTGGTTTCATTAAGTTATGTCAACCACTGGTTCTCTGCGCGATCTCCCCAAATTCTCGAAGCTCGTCGAGCAATTCCTGCTGGCATTGAATACCATCCACTGAAAAGCACTACCATAACTGAGCTCAAACAGCTTCTCCGGGAAGATCGCGAGGGCTGGTGGATGCAGTGCGACATGGAGATGGAGCAAGCGGCCACCTCGGGGAATATCCGTGAACTTTTTCTGATTCGATCCAATGTCGGAAAAAGGCAACCGTAAGCGAAATCTCATGCGAGACCAATAGCAAGCCAATCCACTGTCAAAAACGCTGATTTGAGCATGGGGCCGAGCATTTTGAGCAGTAGTTTAATTAGCCAGCAGCACCGATAAGTCCCCATTCAGGAATCCAGAGTGCTCCCTGGTGTGTAGACGCTTCATCACCATCTGAGGTTGTGATTGCTTATGAGCTTCACCAACTAAAGCGGTACAAAGCAAATGGCCCAAATGAACTCTCTCCGGCTCTTTTCGAAGATCGAGGCACACCACCTGCTCGGGGTTTAACTTCCCTCCTCCAAGACATTTGAGTTACTCCATCCGATTGGAGTCCAGCGGATATTGCGCTATTTGCAAAAAGGGTACCCGGACTGACTGCGCTAACAACAGAGAGATCAGTCTTATCTGTGTTGCTTCCAAGGTGATCGCCCTTCTGGTTGCAAAGAAGTTCAGCTTGGTACGCGAACAGAGCACATGTGAAGAGCAAGCTGGGTTCCGCTCAGGTCGGAGCCGCATTGATCAAAGTATTACACTCCACCAAATACTCGAGCGTCATTAGACATTTGGCCTGCCTACGATCGTTGCCTTCTTAGACATACGAGCCGCGTTTGATTCAGTTGACCGAGCTGCTCTCTGGAGTTGTCTACTGAGAAGGGGAGTGCTCAAGAAGTATGGCACCATTCTTCGAGTCCCCTACTCTCAAACCCTGGGTCGAGGGCGGGTGTGCGGCGGACTTTCGTCATACAGTGGTGTGAAATGGGGTTGCCCAGCATCCCGCTTCTGGTTCAATATCGCTATGGATAATATCCTGGAGACTGCGGATCCAGCTGCTTCCGGGGACCGATTTCGGGACTTGGAGTATGCAGACGATATCGCCGTAATTTGCGACTCATCACAGGCCACCCAAAATGTCCTGTCTAGGTTGGAGGTGTCTGTCTCCCAGTTTGGAATAATATTCGTCACATCGATCTTCTTGTAGGACTGGCTAAGTGTTGCTGTTGTCCTTACTCCTTGAAGTCATTCGTTGGAAGTGGTAGACAAGTTCGTTTCCCTCGGAAGCCGCGTCTATGCTAAGAGTTTAAGTGATGAGGCCTCATTGCGCGTCCCAGGACGCGAGTTGCTTTTGTTAATCCCCGCCATTTCTGGTGTCGAAACTGCTGTGTGCGCTAAATGACAGCATCACCTTCACCTGTGCGTACGTACGCTCAATCTCGCAATCGATTGGAAGAACGTTTGTCCATTGATCGCTAACACACATTACGCCGGTAGGGAGACGAGTCATCGCCAGAATAGAGTTTCCACGATCGTTGTGTGCTTGTTTTGATTACAGTTCGCACGAGTTCGGGGTACCTCGACAGAGGCTGGTTTGCAGATAGGCAATGAAGGCC